AGCTGAATGTCACTAACTCTGCAAGTCAGCTGTAATGCAGGGTCATAAGCGTCTTGTACAGACAATATTAAGTTAAAATGAGCACTGGTGGCATGATTCAAAATGATCAATGTTGAAAATTAACTGGACTGTTTATATCAAGCCCTTTGGTGAGGATTTACAGTTGTGTCTGGAATTCAAGAGGCCTTCAAAATAGGGCTAACTTCGTCTAACTTTGGTTTCATACTTGTGCTGCATTGAAGAAAACCCAATGGTACTACAGTGGAACGCCGCTAATAACAAACACGACGGGGTCCGCGCTAAATGTTCGGTACAGCAGTCGTTTGGTATAGCGAAATTAACTGCCGAATGTTTCATTGCCATGTTGAATAGCACCCTCTCTTGTCTAACTGAAGTATACCCTCTTGTGATACTATGATTTGTCATTTTCGTGATATTTTGCCGTTGCATTCATGTTTCAGGTTTCTAGAAATGTATCTGTACATTATTTTTGTTATTTATTAAATCTTGATTTACAAAATTAATATTTAGTTATCCTAAAAGTCGTGAAGCTACCACTCAGGATAAATCTCTGAATCTAGGTTGATTTGCAACTGCATCATGTTCGGTAGGTTTTGTGCACACACTATTGGGAGCCAAGCATGATGTTCAGTATAGCCGAATGTTCGGTATAGGGACGTTCCACTGTATAAACACATTCCAGACTTGTGCGTCAGTTCTACGGGTCTAGAAGTCTCTGATTCAGTCCATTGTTTGTTCACTCCACCAGTCAGTTTGAAACCTGAAGTCGGTTTATGAGAAAGTCTGAAAGGAAGACCGGGCACTGCACTGAAGTCCACGCATGATCCACACGATGCTACCCACTAACTTACTGTGTGTACTCTCTCTTGTTGGTGTTAGTGACTGGGATCTCGCTACCGTGGGGTTTCAACTCTGTCGTCTTAGTCTGTTGGTTTAAAAAAAACCCAAAAAGACACCAAATTATTCAAAATGTGGTATACGATTCATCTGACCAGCTGATGAGACAGCACAGAAATTTTCCAGAAAATGTCTTAGAAACTAACTTGCTTCCACTGTAAATATGACAGTTTTGGAGAAACCCGGGAAACTCGATCCACATTTAAAGGAACTGTACAATTTCAATGACGGCAGAATCTGTCTAGTACATCCACATATAAGTCCACACTAATAGACTGTCCAGGGCTGAAGCAATCCTCTTCCACACACAGTCAATTCTTAACTCCAAGCATAGGACTAGAAGTGATTCTAGGGGGTACTCTTTGGTCCAAAATTCTATTTTTCCCCTACAACACACAAACATTACTGGGACCGAAATTTGAAAGTCTCGAAACTTTGGAAAAGAAGAAACCCATTTCATGCATACCGCTCCAAAACTTTCTTCGTCTACAGAAAAGGTCAGGTCAAGGTCAGTGGGGTCATTCTCCTTGATCCAGAGCAGAGAGTTGTAGTATTCCGTATCCTGAGGGACAGAAAAAGTGGAAACGGTCAAGCTGAGGTCATGTATCCATGACAACATGTAAGAATCACATGCCTCCTGGGATAGTGAAGATGATCAGAGACCATTTGCATTGGGAAAACTACCATGTGGAGCACGTCATCAGCCTCGTATAAAAGAGGAGAAGTTTCAATCATTAGACCTTACACGGCGCTGATTTCATTCTTGCTTTGCAGAATTAATCACAACTTAAATCATAAGGATCTATTCACAAAATATGCCCCCCCCCCACAAAAAACTTGCCCGACTGCTGCGAGTTAGAACATGTCTTTTTCGACCCCTTCAAGATTGATACGCTTTTCCTAAAGGCAGTCCATCTCTTTGGTGCGCAGAAACACAATGCCCCAAATCACCTCAGAGAGCACCTCATGCACAGAGAATATACAGAATGTGAGCCAACTCACCACAGACTCCATATCAGCCAGGGTAATCTGCCTATTCAACATCATCTTGTAAAATGGTCGGATGAAGAACGCTGAGGATGCAACAAGAGGGACATTTCGTCACATCACAGGCAGAAATTTGTTTCTCGCTGATAAGAGTTTCCCCCCTGTGTTGAAGTGCAATCTCCAGCTGACCCTGAGAGCCTCAATAATTTCCGTGAATGAGACCTTTGCACTTGCAAGCAGGAGGTTGAGGGTTCACATCCAGTGCAACAGCAAACAAGCTAGTTATTGTTTCACCTGCTTTGCAAAAGCACTGATCATTTTGCAGCATTAACGGAGTAGACCCTTAAAGTGTCTGACCAAAATGTCTCAGAAAAATGAGTGTTTCATGAGGATAGTACGTCCAATTTTGACAGACTTGGTGTCAAAATGATTGAGATATTACTGGAAAAAATCTGAAAACTCAGCATAGAAAAAAAAACACGCACTGCAATGATGTCAGAGCAAAATGTCTAGGGGGAAGATTCTACCCAACTGCCCCCACGCCCATTTCCGGGTTGAATGGAAAATGGCGTTGCATAGGAACAAATGACAATGGTGTCCAATGGTGAACTGGGGAAAACTCAGAACAGCAAATGTTGAAAGGGAGAAACAACACAAGGGAAAGTGAAAAAAAAAAAAACGAATCCAAAAGAGAGCAATGAATGACCAAAGAAACTGGGCTACCGGAACGGATGCCAGGAAAGTGACAATGCTTGCTCACCATCCAGAAGTTTGCCATGGTAGACGGCCATACCGGCCACCCGGCCGATGAACTTGAAGTAAGACAGGTGCTGTTCATTACACAAGCCCGAGTCTGGGTTGATCTGAAGTGTGTAGTTGTCCCTGCTCGTAAAAACAGTGACAGCAACGTGTCAGGACTTTCCAAACTTCTTTGGAAAATTGTCAGAATCACAAGCAACATGACAACATAATAATGTGTTAAGAGCATCAAGCTAAAAGGCCTTTGTAGTACAGCATGAGACTCCCAATCCTGTTTCAGAGAATGCAGATACCATGAATATAATTTTCTCACGGTGATGCTGTATTTCAGACGTTCTCATTTATCAGGATATCAACTGCCTTGATGAAATAATACACCTAACTGCGACACACTTTTTGTACAGACATTTACAATGGGAGAGAAACAGACTTGAACCACTTCCTGGCGGGGGAGCCAGGGTGCCCGGTTTTGGACAAAAGAGCTTGTTAGTGTAACAAAAGACTGTACTAGGAACAAAGGACTTGCTGCTGGGAATTGCCATCATTTTTCGACTTCCATTTTTCGAAAAGACACTCTGGCCCAATATCATGATTTTTTTCAAATTTCTGTTTTTGGGCAAAATCAACTAGGTTATGCAATGCCCACAACTTGGTGTAATCGTTGCTTTTTACTAAATCTACTGAAATCAGCCAAATCACGATGATCTACTTGGGGCAAATTTCAATTATTCCGCATTTTGCTTTTCACGAAAAGGCGAATTTGTCTTCCACAGATATGGCATCAGCTATGAAGGGCAAAACCATGCGCAAACTCGCTTTGCCACTTTCGCAAAGGGTCACATTTGACGCTGGAAATGTACAACTTTTCCACCTGGCTCGCGCTTTGGCAAAATAGCACGCGTTTTCACGAATAGACAAAAGCCACATGAATTTCAGTGTTTTCACGATGAGGCAAATTTGTTTGTTTACAAAAGAAACAATTTTAATTGACTTTTAATGATATCATTTGGTAGTTGATTCGTTCATGAAGTAGCATTGGTTAAGTCAAAGGCATGCTATATACTACGAAAATAATAAACACGCACACCAGCTTCAAATGCGATTTGCTTGAAACCTAGGTTATACTCCCTGGTGAGAAATTCACCTCTTCAGGAAAACGGTGACGATAATTAAACTTAAAACATAACTTGTGCAGTAAAAAAAGTCTTCAATATCATTCACTATCTCAACAAGTGTCGAGACCAGTCATGGCTTTCGATTATTTGATTTAGGAAACTATCTGAATGATGACCGAATGTTCAAAAACTCGACAAATTAGGCACAGCCACACAGATTTGCTTCTCTCGGTCCTCAGGCTTGCACTCTTATGCTGGTAAAAAGATTCTGTTGAAAGACGGTTCTTGACTCACATGGCTGAATACTCAAAGAGACCATAATATGGGTTGAACATCTCCCGTGATAGCAAGAAGAACCACTCCCTGCACAGTAAAGACAATAATGACGATAAAATTCTGAAACTAAATTTGAAGATTCTGTCAGTGCTGGCACTAATCACCAGACCTTTCATTCTAAAAACAAAGCTGTTGGTGAGACATCCCTTTTTTTCAGATGAAACCCCCGAGTTCCTCCAAACTGCAAAGTTGCTCATGAAATAACCTATGCCGTTTGCACCATTTTGTTTTCTTCAAACTTATCTTTCCTTTCAGTTTCAGGTATAAGCGTCTAAAACTGTGCTGTGCTGAATATCCGACTCACCGAATATTTGATCAATTATCGAATATTCTACAACTATTTTTCATATTTGAATATTCGAATGCCAAATTCATGAAAATGGAGGGAGAATTTTCTTTTGAAAAGCCAAAGAAACCTTACAGAGATTCAAAATGTACATTATTCATTAAAAAATTTAAAAGGAATATACACTTTCAACAGGAAAAGAACTTTTATTTGTCTGTTAAATCTTACCAAATAGTGGCTAGAGATAATCACACATGTGAGAAGCTATTATAGTAATTATATAATGTAAAATTGTGTGTTATTGCAACTGATTTTGTACACGATTTGTTCATCAACAATCTGCCAGTTGGTAAGACTGAATATTCGGATATTTGATCGAATTGAAGGTCGAATAGTGAATTATTCGAATTGACTCAGCCCTACATATTTTGTAATCATTTTGTAAAGTTTTCTCTTTCACTTGTGAATCCCGTGAAGACACCACACCTTTCAGGTAACACTCCCTGCATTTACCAATGCCAGGCAAGGAACACAGCCAACGATTCTGACCTTGCAACTCCTCCGTAATCCAGCCCCGTCTCCCCCACAAACTCGATCCATAGCCTGGCCTTGAGGAGATCTGGGTTCTTCACACTGATGATATTGCGGTAGGAATCCTCCATGATGCTGGCCCGGCTGCACTTCAGCTCATACCGATTGGGGATGTTGGACTGCAAGTGGAGAGGAAGGGGCGGAGTTAAGAAATTTGGAGGGTGGTAAATATCAGTTAAATGATTCTGGAAACTGTTGCAGCTGTATTCGTCACTTGAAATGTATTCCTCAATCACCTGTGAGTTGAACTATTTAAATTTGTCGTTGCAGATCATGCTTAAAATGAAGTACATCTTGAGAATAATCTTACTTGATATATTCATCTTTAAACTGTGTGCCTAGCCCAACATCTCTACAGTACACAACTGGCATCTCAAGACTTCCACAACTGAATATCAACAATACCTACATTCATGAAGAGTGGTCAGGCTCTCTCTAATGTTTACATCATCCAAATCAGGCCACACAGGATGTTGAACTAAGCCCAGATTTTGGCAGCTCAGGGTCACCTTACACCACTTGACTACATGCGGTGACTATTACGAACAGTTAAATTGGCCAAGTTCTTCAGTGTTGTACAAATACACTATGGTGGAATCTCACCCCTTTGATGCCTTGTAAATACTTACAGGCTTCTTGAGTCTAGACTTGAAATAGTCATACTTCCTCTTGTAGTCTCTTGAGTATGGAACAGCCTAAAATAGAAACGTACGCAAGATGAGCAGACAGTTTGAAAATGCCAAGCTTTCACATCTGGTTTTTCATGCTCTGTCCTGTCCTCTTTAGTAAACCATTTTAAATAGGTACTATTTAAAATTCAATTACAATTCACAATTAGAAACAGAAAGTCTAAAAATAAAAATTAAAGTTACTTGGAGCACAGAAGCCAGATCAACCATTGTTAATAAACTGTTGAGAGGGTGTCAGATTCCAGATAAATTTTTCTGCTTTCAAAAGTAACCCCGTCTGCCCCACCTCAAAACGCACCTCCCTAATAGAAAATCTCCAGCCAGTTATCAGTGAAGTGAGTTTATGGCCAATGGAAAAAAAAACGGCATGAATATCATATCATGTTTGAATGGGTGCAAAGAAAAACTCAAAATATTTCAGTTGTTAAAAAAATGTCCTCTTTTCTGATAGAAGTTTTCACTTGCGACACTTTTTGGTATACTTTCCAAAGAACAGCTACACTGAAGAAATATTTCCAAAACACCCTGGGAGGGCTGTTAACTTTGAAGTTGGGAGTAAAACCTCCTAAGAAAGTCCCTTGTTGGTAAACTGTGTACAAAATAGGCAGCTTTTGTGACAGACATAAAAAAAAAATTGCAGATAAACCTACCGGTCCCGCGATAGAAGGATTCTGAAGCCTCGGGTCTTCCCACTGAGTACTGTGCGTATCTGCGGAAAAAAAAACAAACCACAGGTTAGCATGGTCCAATGTATGTACATTACACGCACTGAGCCCAGCTCAGGTTCTTATGCAGGTACTTGTTGGCAGTTGCACTATTACTTTGAACTGACCGAGTGACACGTTAATTTTGTCACTTCCCTTAGTATCACTGTCTCTTTTCCTGCGTTGTTTACAAACCAGGCTTCTTTCGAAGGCCAATTTTCTAATTGGTTGGTTGGTTTTTTTGTCATTAACACCTTCAAAGAGCGATCTGGATCCATTGTCTTGTTGAGAGATAACTAAATGTCAATTCAAACACAAAGATAAAAAGTAATGGACAGGAAGCGTGTGTGGTACCACTGATGAGACTGTGTACAACTGGATTTATGCATGAGCCCTAGTACGTGAATTTATAAAGAACTGCAGAATGCTTCAGGTTGACCTAGCCCAGCGTACGTTAGAGCGCACTTACTGTGATCTATGAAAAACGTCCTTCCATCGCTATGAACCCGTTGCTCCCATCCGGGCTACATGTAAGCAGAAAAAAACCAACAACCGGAGTACATTAAAACATGTTCCGGGGAGTACTTCTGCAGTACAACATCATTTTGAACCAGGCAAGTGTGCAAATGAGTGAAGTAGATGTATATGTAAGTTCACGTGCTGGTTCTCACGCCAATGCCTTGTACATGCATAATGGTGCACGTGAGGTATTCTCTTTGGTAAGCCATATGAAGTGCCGTGTATTTACACGTCTATACTTGTCCCCCATGCTTGAGTGATTCCCATTGAGTTTGTACCCATGGAAGCTTGAACTAGACCGTAGAGGTCAGTGGTATGTGGAGCCCTCGAGCGGCCACGGGTCATGGCTAGGTGTTGTAGCAAATGTCGCTCGGCAACACAGTCTCCAAGTTTTGAAAAAGCGACACTGAGGCACTGAAAAATGCCACACAATTCTGGAACAAATGACCACCAAGGGCCAGCGAAACAAGTTTGTAAAGTCCAACATTGCAAAGGACTGTGGTTGTGTTGTCTTGCCATTTCAGAGAGTTGGTATTTTTAACAGAAACAATACGGCCCTTGGGACGAGTGTAGCATGGAATAACACCATCGGATACCGGCTTGGATGGTATTTCGGTATTACTAGTTGGTATTTGTGGCTTTCTTTTTTTCAAGACCGAACAATATCGTCTGATGATCCATCCATAAATACCAAAATACCAGTGACCTTGGTATGGAATTTCAATACCGCGGTATTCTTGCTAATGTGTTCGGAATGTTTGCAGAACCATTTTGAATTAAAGGAAAACCCCCATATTGTCAATGTCTAGCACGAATTGGTCACATGGAAGTGAAGCGGCTGCCAACCACAAGCCACAAGCCAAAAGACTAGGAAGTTTGGTAATCACTGCTGGCATTGCGTTTGCAGTTTGGGTGTAGCTCATAGTGTCTGGGAGGACATGCAGGGGAACATTTTGGCAGGAGTAACTTCTGGATGGAATCATAACTTCCAAACGGATTCAATATGCCTACATTTAGTGAGTAGCCGTGGACTGTCTTCACAATCTGTCTGCTCCTGAAAGGTTTTGAGGTGTACTGTGTGACCAGAACCACAGGGCTCAGATTTGAGACAATCTGTACTCACCGGTAGAGGTCCCAGGTCATCCACCGGTTGCCTCTGTTTCCTGGGGTCATCCTAAACATAACAGGAAATAATATTCATTATCACAGAACAAAGTTTTCATGCTAGCTTTCGTCAATTAGAAAAAAATCTTGCAACAGTAAAAAAGATTTCATTAGTGGCTCTTGCTACACCCAGCTAGTTCATTTCAGCTGTCAGCCAAAGTGAAACCACAAGATATGGCAGTCAGTATTGGTTTTATAACACCTCTCCGATGGATTCATCTCAGGTTTCTTCCAAGCTGCATCTGAATCACTCGGCCAGCTAGAAGCTGACGAACAAAGTTTCTTCTTGAAGCGTGAATTTTCTTGCTGATCGTAAATTTAGAGTAAATTTGGAGCCCTGCCCTACTCACCCAAGTGGTGCTGCGCGTGTTGTGGTTGATGAAGAAGATGCGTCCATTGGCGGACCTCTGCATTTGCCAGCCGGCGGGCAGGGGGCCCAGGGGATCGTTGGGGGACGCAATGAAAGGCTGACTGGTCTGAGTTGGTGGGACTTGTTGCTGCAAGGGAATCATGGAAGGGCTGGTTAAAACTTTCTTCTCATTCTAAAGTAAGGACGACCTCATATTCTGATATTAAGCTGGAGGTTTGTGTCTGGATGGCTTCACACCAAAAAGGCCAGCTCATACTTAGTGTGAAAGCGAACACACTTTGGTGGCGTCAGATCAATTATTTCCACATTCGGAAAAGCTGGCTGCATTCCAACTCCAGCAAATTTCACTGCGAAAGTTCTGTGTTGTTGAATTTGCAAGAATTTGCTTTCGCCTGAAGTATAAATTGGTTTTAATTTTTATAAATATCTGTTCCTTTTTTTTGTAATAAACACAGACGCCGCATACAAAACCAGCTTCCTGAGCAGACCTGTGTCTGGGAAAGTAGACAATGCAAGATTTCATTTGATGAATCAAGGTCGTCTTTAGTTTTTGCTGTCTGCAGTGCAAGACCACTTTCACGGAAATATCAAGAAACACTACCTTGCTATTTAAAACTTCATTCAGTGAAAATTAAAAAAAAAACCACATCACCAGCTAAAATGTCACATGACACATACATGTACTGCACGTGCCCGGTATTTGGCTTTTCTTTCTAAGCGACAATCATTCCACTCAGTGGCTACATGTAGCCCCGATGGCCTGACCACATCAGCAACTTTTGTTCGTTCTAAGCTCCCTTTCTACAACTTGGTATTCACTGTCTGAAGAATGTGGACTTTGCCTTTGTGACCTGCAGTTACCTGTGTTGGCACGGTAGGCTGTGCTGGTTGGACCTGGATCATCTGTGTTGACGACTGTGAGGGAGACCTTTGAGGCCTTGATGGTTCCTTCAGATTAAAAAAAAAAACAGGTAGTGTAACACTGTAGTGTGACTGCACAGCAAGCTAATTGTCCTTTAACGCCAACCATGCTGAACCCAACGACATCTAAACAGGGACCACTATCTGTGTTGGTATGAGCAGTAAATAAAAGGCCTTTTGTTCTAGCTGTTTGATTCGGTCTAGTTCAGCAGGCTTCACACTTCTGCTGCTGTTGGACTCTGTCGGGTTCAGCAGGGTGCATAGAGAAAAAACCTGAAAGGGGGGTTGGGGTTAATGTTCATGTAAATTAACTAAAAACTGGTGTTGATTTTTTGTCAAAAGTAACTCAAAACAATCATCATATGACCAGAGTACACTCTGTCTTCCTTCGCACTGACTAGACATGCTCAATCTTTATACCACTTCTAATGAGCATCTGATGTCTTCTGTGCATCTGTTTCACAGTCTTTCTAATTAAAGTTTCCCAGATTAGTCAATAGTCACACTGATGAAAAAAAACAAAAACAATGCAATACCAAGACAAGCTGTACATTGCACTGCAGCAGGAACCTTGAGCAATATCCAGCAAAGCTGCCCGTAGATATTACAATTTCTGACAAACATCCTTACAGGATCATTGCTGTGGTCGTGAAAAGAGATGTTTCCAGTCTTGCCTTGGGTCTTTGTTTTGTCAAATTAAGTGGAGAAGAAATGATCCAGCGTCTTACCACTGCCTCTTCTTCTGCTTCCAAGTTATCGTCCGCGCTGATCTGTCGTCGGGCGCGATAAATGGCTCGCATCTCGTCCTGTACGTTGGCAGGCATACCAGCCGGAGGGCCAGCCGAAGCACCACTATATACATTTTACACAAAAGACAGTTGAAAATTTCAACCTACACAGCACAAGAAACAGAGAAATTTCAATAGGAATAGGGCTAAGGGAAAACAGTTGGTGACATGGCACCCCCATCCATGGTAATGAGTTGCTGGGCTTGCTACCTGTTAATATACACCTGTACACATTATTAAGTATTTCCAGAACTGTGGTATTTTAACTCTTTATTTTATAGAGGCATTAACCCTCCTATGCTGAAGTCACTCTTTGGGTCATTTGGAAAACACCTCAAAGAAGCACAGCTGTGTTGTGTTGT